AACTAGCCGGCATTTAAAAATGGCGCCGGCCGGCTTTATGCAAATGAAGCCCGGGAAATTCAAATCCCGGGCTTCATTTGCAACTCAGTATGACTACATTACCCCCCCTCCCTAGTTCAAACTAGGGGGGTAGTGTAGACATACCCTTCTGTTCTCTGGATCAGCTCTGGTTACAGGCCTATCTATTCTTCTCAATAAGGAGTGCCCAATCACATAGACCTGCCTTTTCCTAGTGACAGTGCAATTCTCTGTTCTATCTCTAGCTTCCTCTGGCTGCAAGTCCTTGCCATTCCTATGTTCCCTTGTAATCCTCTTTAACCCATCCTTTATCCTCCTAATGCTCATTATTGGTGTTGTCTCCATTAAGTCTTCTCCTTTATCTATGGGACTAGCCACTCTTCTCTTCTTCCTTACCCTTCCATCTTCATTATCTACCTGCTGTACCCCTTCTTCATTCTCCAGCTCCACGTACCTGTTCATAGTATATTCATAGTATATTCATAGACTTTAAGGTCAGAAGGGACCATTATGATCATCTAGTCTGACCCCCTGCACAGCGCAGGCCACAGAATCTCGCCCACCCCTCTTAGAATAATCCTCTCACCTATGTCTCAGATATTGAAGCCTTCAAATACTTTGAAGGCCCCAACATGCAGAGAGTCCTTCAGCTGTGATCTGTGCCCAATGCTACAGAGGAAGGCGAAAAACCTCCAGGGCCTCTGCCAATCTACCCTGGAGGAAAATTCCTTCCTGACCCCAAATATGGCGATCAGCTAAACCCTGAGCATGTGGGCAAGACTCACCAGCCAGACACCCAGAAAGTTCCCTATAGCAACTCCTATCATCCCTCCATTGACCTATTTCCAACTGGAAATGAATGGTCAATTAGTTACCAAGATCATGTTATTTCATCCAACCATCCCCTTATCATAGAATCAGAACTGGAAGAGACCTCAGAAGGTCGTCAAGTCCAGCCCTCCGCTCTAGGCAGGACCAATCCCATCTAAATCAACCCGGCCAGGGCTTTGTCAAGCCGAGACTTAAACACCTCTAGGGATGGAGACTCCACTACTTCCCTAGGTAACCCATTCCAATGCTTCACTACCCTCCTAGTAAAATAGTTTTTCCTAATATCCAATCTGGCCCTCTCCCACCACAACTTGAGACCATTGCTCCTTGTTCTGCCATCTGTCACTACTGAGAACAGCCTCTCTCCATCCTCTTTGGAACCTCCCTTCAGGAAGTTGAAGGCTGCTATCAAGTCCCCCCTCACTCTTCGCTTCTGCAGACTAAACAGACCCAAGTCCCTCAGCCTCTCCTCGTAGGTCATATGCTCCAGACCCCTAATCATTTTGGTTGCCCTCCGCTGGACCCTCTCCAATGCGTCCGCATCCTTTTTGTAGTGGGGGGCCCAGAACTGGACACAGTACTCCAGATGTGGCCTCACCAAAGCCGAATAAAGGGGAATAATGACATCTCTGGATCTGCTGGCAATGCTCCTCTTAATGCATCCTAATATGCCATTAGCCTTCTTGGCTACAAGGGCACACTGTTGACTCATATCTAGCTTCTCATCCACTGTAACCCCCAGGTCCTTTTCTGCAGAACTACTACTTAACTGGTTGGTCCCCAGCCTGTAACTATGCTTGGGATTCTTCCGTCCCAAGTGCAGGACTCTACACTTGTCTTTGTTCTTGAGCTCTATTTTTCCATCACTGACCCATCTTTTCCTCTGCCTGGTTCTCTGAGTCACATGCTTCCACTGTCCATTTTCTTCGCCCAGGAGTCCCCTCTGAGGCCCTTGATCCTGCTTCCATCTGCATATCTAAGCTTTCCCTTTCAGCCACATCTTGCCTTTGCCCCATCATCTGCTCAAACCCCCTTCTAAACTCGACCACTAAGACATATAAGAAGTGTCAACTGCTGGGAGGCAGGTCTGGCTCCATGTCTAGAGAGCTGAGGTGTCCGCAAGGGCAACCACAGCAGGCAAAGAAAAGACTTTGCTGTCCCTCAAGAAGGTAGGCAAAGGAGAGGAGACATGGCTGTACAGGGGGGTCCCTTTAAGTTCAAGCATCAGCTCCAGGAAGAGAGTGCTGTCCTGGTAGCCTTAAATACGATTCAGCATTCAATGAGTGTAGATGCTCTATTTCAAAATAGCTCAGTGCTAATTCAATGGGCATTTGCTGTGTAGATGCTCTATTTTGAAATAAGGTATTTCAGAGTATTTCCTCCAAACTAGCTTATTCTGAAATAAGCGTGCAATGTAGATGTGCCCTTAGAGAACTAGATTCATTTTTCCATAAAGGGTGTAGGGTGGAATTGTTAACACTTTTCCATTTTCAAGACTGGGAGTGGCAGTCGGTGGAAAAGCAGTGGACATCCAACTTCTCTCTTGAGAGTTTGGATTAGGAAAAAAGTCACAATTTTAGTACCTTTATAGACTATATCAGCAGCTGTTTTCAGGATGTTTCTTTCTCCTGGATATTAGACAGTGAGATGATAATAATGGCGTTTGCCTATATTGTCCTTGTTTCATAGCTGCGCATAGCTGTTTATTGATGGTTTATTGATGCCTTCCTAGAGTATTAGATAGGTGTACTTTTACAATGAGGGCTTTGGGATCAAAGTTATTTAGGAATCCTACAATTCAGTATTCTAAATGTTCAGCCGGTTTTCTAGTATTCCCAACTTTCTTTTCTTGCAGAATTATGATTAGCAACTTTTCAAATCTGGATGCTTCTTCTGCTATCTTTGCCCTCTAAGACTACGTCTACACTACCAGCTTATTTCAAAATTAGTTATATCAAAATAATAACTCCTCAAGTAACTGTTTCAAAATAAGCTTGTTCCTCTTCACAGGCAGGAGTTGTTATTTCGAAATAACAAGTATTTATTTAGAAATAACGGGCTTAGTAGTATGGATGCTCACCTTCTTATTTTGAAATAAGGGGAGTTATTTCGAAATCCTCCCTAGTGTAGATATGCCTTCAGTGCATGACTCTGATCTCATTTACACCAGCATCAATCAGGAGCAATGCCATTGACATCCTCAGGATTACATTTGTGTGAAACTGGTGCTCTCAATCTGCATATGGTTCAGACATATTCAACTGTTTCCATGGTTCAGTGGTTATAATTTTTTCTGTTTGCTATACTCTAAGAGGTCTCAGTGTCAGAGACTCCATGGAGGGCGTAAAGCCAGCATAGCAGCCCTCTTCCATCACCTCTCAGTTCTTCCATCCTTGGGTCAGCTGATGACTGAGTTGGCCCACTATGTAGTTTTGGACTACTACATTTTAAACTATGGCTCAGCTGCAGTGGCCTCCTAAGGAGCCCTTCACCTGCTAGAGATTTCTAGAGCTCAGTGTGTTTAGACAAAGGCCTCCACCTGTCCTCAACTAATGCTGCGCATTGAGAGGGAAGAGAGGGCTGCTGTGTTGGCTTAATGCCATCCAAGGAATTACATCAGAAAAAAATATAACCATTATCTCTTTATACACTATAATCCCCATTTTACAGAGCAAGAGGGTTAAGAACATGATTTTTCCGGAGGTGCTAAGTATCTGCAGATCTCCTTGATTGGAAATGAAGTTGCAAGTGCTCAGCATCTTTAAAAATCAGGCCATAAGTCACTTACTCAAGGCCTCAGAAAGACTCCAAGTCTGAGCTGCAATTAGAACTCAAGAGTGTCTGGCTCTGCCATCTGTTCACACTATGCCTCTCTAAACGCCACCCAATGAATGAAATATATTACTGGAATCAGAGTATTTTTCAAGTTAGGTGCATTTATATACTGTAATTTGGAGTTTACAAACAATCTCTGTTGTGTTTTCTAATCATTTTAAGATAAAATACTCATTTGGTTTGTACATATTTTAAGATTAAAAAACATATATTTGGCTTTAAACTAATCAAAATTTCCCCCTAACCCAATTCAACTAGTGCTGTTGCTGAAGCTGAAGGAATTGAGCCATTAATAAATGTTCTGAGTGCTAAGAGAGATGGGACCATTGCTAATGCAACTACAGCACTAACAAACATGGCCACGCAAGAGCCATTACGTCTCAAAATCCAGAATCATGGTGTTATGAATGCAATTGTTGAACCACTACAGTCTACCAACAGCCTGGTACAAAGCAAAGCAGCACTCACTGTGGCTGCACTTGGTTGTGACGCTGATGCAAGAACTGAGGTGAGTCTTACGTTACCTTATGTCTCCTTTGTGAATATTTATTATATTTAATTTTTAAAAATAAAATTGAGGGTTTTTTTGTTTTACTGACCCTGAGGCCAAAATAATTTAATCTGAGTCTCTGAAAAATCCTTTGTTTTATAGAAAGTAAAAAAAATTGTGTCTCCTTAATAGAGAAATTCTCATTCAAATGAGCTTAGTTCAGTTTGATTATGAGCATTTGGAAAAACTGAAATATGGAAGACTCTCTATAATCTTCATTCCATTGTTCTAGACATACGTAAAGGCTGTGTCTACATTGGCACCCTTTTCCAGAAAAGGGATGCTAATGAGACCAGTCGGAATTGCAAATGCCGCGGGGGATTTAAATATCCCCCGCGGCATTTGCATGAACATGGCTGCCG